TATTCAGTGAGACAGTAAAGTCCCCATCTCATGGATACTGAGAGAAGACCTTTTCATGTTGTGAGAAGGTAACATTTAAAGGCATCCCTTGGGCTACTCTATCTGGCAGCCCAGCTGGTGCTCTTTTGTGTGAGTGCCACTCTTTTGAAATGCCAACTCTGGCCTTAAAGGCAGCCAACAGAAGGTATGGCTCACTCTCCCTGTAATTGATTCCTCATCACTTGTCACTGGCCTTTATTCTCCCTTTTGTTTGGGAAGAAGGAATAATACAGATTACAAGACAAATGCAAAGATTGCCTTTTATGGAGAGAGGTAGCAACAGGATTTCTGGTGTCCTGGGATTTCCCTTGTGTTTGTCTGTCTCTGGTCAGCTGGAGAGATTAGCAGCAGATAGATGGGTTGTCTTTGTGTGTGCCTCACCAGCAGGTGCCCTTAGGAAATGCCAGACACATCTGTGGGGGGAGATGGGAAAGGGGCAACAGTGACAGAAATAGGTAGGAAAACTGGCCAGCTGGATTTGGACTGTGCTACAGGAAACTAGGCATGATTGTACTTCACAACCAGGCAAAAGGGGTGGATGCAACAGCTGTTGCTGCAGAATATTCCAGATGGGCCTTCCGCATCTTCACTGACGGAGGCGTGGGTGTTACAGAGCAGGTCCCACTTTGGTGCTTCTTCAGTTTATGACCACTGGAAAGGCAGAAGAGCTCAAGCACTTCTGTTGCCTTGTGTCTTCTTGCTCAGGTCTCATAAAATATTTGTTATGTTCTGAATTCCCCTTTAAGTGAGTGAGTGTTATTATCCTCCTTGATCCTTCTTCATCGTTTTATCATGTCAGCAGGTAAAAGCAGTTTTCTAAGGATCACATGGTGAGTAAGTTCATGGCTGTTAATGGGCTCCTCACATCCCACACAGGCATAGATCACACGATGTCCACCTCCTGCAAAGCAGGATTTGGACTTACATTTTGTGCTCTAGGAGAAGCACCTTACAAGCATTGAGTAGCTGGTTTGGTCTGAACTTGACAGGCTGAAAGCTGCACAGGAAATGAAGATAGTTAAAAAAGCATGAGATAGATATCACTAGGTTGCATGGAGGTGGGTATGGGCAGATGTGAACTCACCAGAGGTCAGGAACTAAGGATCAATATCTGCATAGCCTCCACCTTCCTTTTTAGCCTGAGACTTATCTGTGGATTTTCAAGGATTCTTTTCCAGTGGGATCCTGGAACAACATTTGATTTTAGGGCAGTGGGCTGAACCCAAAGTTTTTGCTTTGGAAAACATAAAGCCCTGCAGCACTTGATCCATCACACAGTGGCTTTTGGGGCCAGAGTGGAAAATGGTGATAAAGAAGCTCTCAGCAATTGGGAAGATGACTTGGAGCTTTCCTTATGCCAGGAACTTTCTGTAATCCAGGACTGCAATGTTTTATGGCTCAGCCTGGAGCTCAGATCTGAAGGTTAATTTCCAAGTAACTCCATCACAGGCTACGTTCCCTTGAACTTGACTAGCAGCCTGCAGAGAGACTGACTCATGGCAGAAGGGAACAAACTAGATGACCGACGCAGTCTTCAACATCTGCAACACTGTGGACCCAGTTCAGATGGGGCAGAGGCTTCATCCCTCTTTAGTTTGAAGTCCTAGAATCCCTGCCATGCCTCCCAGAAGCACATTTCCAGTGACCGCATTACTGGGAAAGGGAGGTGGTGTGGTTCTTTCCCAGCCTCAGGGAGGATCTGTAACTTAGCAGGCAGGGCTATGAGTTCTGACTCTGCTTCACAACTCAGTTTTGTAAGATAGTCATGAGCATGCTGTTCATCTGTTTTGACCTTCAGTTTTCCATGTGTAGATGGGGGTGGTGAAACACTGCAGGCTGTGGGCAGACAAGGGGGATTCCTTTCCAATTGTAAACCATCTGAAGAATGCCTGCTTGTATTCACTATTGTTCTGTTACATACTTTGGGTCCAAAAGGCTGAAACTTTTTTTCTGATAATGCAAGGACATAGACCAGTCAGCCAGGATATGCTCAGGCTTGGTTTGGGTTTAGGCCAGGCATTCACAGCCAGTGCTTTGGGGGCACTAATTTGCATTCCAGATGCTTCTCTGGGTCTCCTTCTATCTTGATTTCCCTTTTTTCCTAAGGCATCAAAGTTCGTTTGCTGACTGGTTTGTCCCAGTGCTGGCTGCTCAGCCAGGTTCTAGCACAGCAGATCTGAGCCGCAAGTCCCTAGATGAGGATAGAATAGACCACAGTTGTTTTTAATCCTAGCATGCTAGCAGCTTCATATTAATTCTTCATTCACTCTTAATCCCTCACCTCAGCAGCTCTGGTGTCTGTATTTAGCTGTTCTGAACACCGTCCTGTTGACTTTGATCTATGGGGTTCCTATGTGGGCTATCAGTTGGCTAAGAGCCTCCGTGAGGACTAGTTATCCTTCTTAGAAAGACTTTCCCTCACAGAAGTCTCCTAAGGGCAGGAAGAAGACCAAGAAACCAGTGGCTTGAAGCTGGTTTTGCTGGAAGCACCCATAGTGACTTCCCTCATCCTTGGCACCATGTTTCCAGGAAGGAGATCCCACTCACTTATCTCTCACTCCCCAAGGCTGTACAATGCCAACCGGTCTCAACAGAGAGAGAAACAAGTTATTTAACTCCTTATCTTGAGTTGTGATGTGCATCCCAAACTGGGTACCACCAGGGAAGGGAATTGGATAAGCTCTCCTTGTCCCATCAAGCCTTCATCTAGTTTTTTCAGCTGGCCTTAGTGCTAATGCTTCTGCATATTTCCAGGCAATAACATGCTCCTCTTTCCTCAGTTCACTAAATTATACACATATTTCATTCTTTTAACCTTTTCTTGTAAGTCAGCCACTCTGAATCTAAACATTTCATCATCCTTATTGTGCATCTCTGACCTCCCTGTGATGTATCTCTCACTTTCTGACAGCCAGGCAGTTGATGGGGATAATTCCAGGTCTCTGTCCTTCACACAGTGACCCCAGTGCTGATGTGCCAAGAATGAAGAATTTCAGCTATTCATGTAGCAGGGAGGCTATATAGGAAAATCTCTTTCCC